TCTCCCCTCTTTTTTTATAAATCCAAACAAGATAATATTAAAATCCTTCTACTCTCCCCCCTTTCCTTTTCCTCCATTAAAATCATTCCTCTCTCCTTCCTCTCATTGAGCCAAATATACTCTAAGGATGTATTTGATTGGAAGGAAGGGTGGAGGGGAGGGAATATGACCCCCTCCCCTTATTTGGACGAAAATTTAGAAGGAAAGAAGACTCAAAATTTTTCCTCCCCTCCCCTCGTTTACCCTCATTTGGGTCCCCTTAAATTAGGGTTTTTTTTAGGAAAGTCAAAATTTTTCTGACTATGTTATCCTTATATATTTGTGATATTCCCAGCTTGGTTGGCGGTGTACTCCTTCCTTTCTTCTTCTTTCTTGTCTTCCTGAGCACCACCGCCAACGAAAATGATGAGTAGGCTGGGAGTCTCTTTTCTGGCTTGGCATTAGTCAGCAGCCGCAAGCTGATTATGGAGTTGGACGAGAAGGTGCTAGGAGATAGAGAAGGGGATAGTGGTGGCGGTGGAAGAAGGGGAGGAAAGAGATGAGGAGGAGTTGAACGTGATGGCTTTGGGGAGGAGAGAGTGGAAGAGGAATAGTGGCTATTTTTATCCTTATCGTCACTTCTCCCCTGTAAGGGTCGCAGCCATTCATATTATCTTCTTCCAGTTCTAATATTTCTATGTATCTTTGCGGTTTGATTTTTTTTCAAACGTATTAGTTTATTAATTAGATTGTACATTAAAGCTAGAACAGAATGGGCAGAAGAGAAAAGATTTCGTTTTTTGTAAAAAAATAAAAAAAATGTGTTAATTTAATTACTTCAAATATATTACTATATTAATTTACATAAAAAATATTATATCATTTTTTTATACACATATAACATGATTTAGCTGAAATTTTCAATCAGTTATGTAATTTAAATTAAAATGTGAATTGATTTATATAATATATAAATAAAAATATGGGAAAATGACAGATAAAGAAGCTCCAAAATGTGAAATGTCAATTTGGGAAGCTAAGGAAATGTAATTACTCATAGGGAAGTCCTTCCCAAATTGGAATTTTGAAATTCAGTGAAATGATGTAATATCCTTAAAAAAAAGTAATTGAAAAATAATATAATATAATATAATAATATTTTATTATAATATTAAAAAAAATTTCGGTGGAAAGTTGGAGGGGGTGTGGAAAAAATTGGAGGGGGTGGAAAAAATGTGGGGGTTGGGGTTGAAATTCCCCTCCCCCAATAATTATGTGGGGGTGTTAAATACCCCCCACAATCCATCCCCCCCCCCCACGGCAAACGCAAGAAGAAAGAGAGAAAGAGGAGAAGAAAAGAGAGAAAGAGAGAGCTGAAGTGTGTGAGAGAGAGGAGCACACCGGTGAAGCAGAGGGTAAGCTTTGAAGATATTTTAGGTACATGAAATTATCTCTTTTCATCAAACTTTCTTCATAAATATTTCATATATATTTTATGCTTCCTAATAGTAGTATTATTATAGTGATTAGAGAAAATTTTGAGACTTATATATGATATAAGTATTGAGTTTTGATAAAAGATGACTATAGAAATTTAGAAGTAAATGAGTTGTTAATTTTAATCGGTTTAGATTTCTCTATTTGTTAGTTTTAGTATTTAAATTAATTTATTTAGTTAAAAATCTGTTATTTATGGGATATACCATATTTTTACCGATTAAATTTAAGTTAAATAATTTATTTGGATTGTTTGATATATTATTGAGATTTTAATCGGTTTGGATTGGTCCATTTGTTGGTTTTAGTGCTTAAATGGATTTTTCTAGTTGAAAAATATGTGATATATGATTTATATCATATTTTACCGATTAAAATTAAGTTGAATAATTTAATTGAGGTGTTTAACATATTATTAAGATTTTAATCGATTTATTTTTATTTATTGGGTGACTGGAGGTTTTAAAATAATTATTGTAGCTAAAAATTTTATTATTTATGGAAATATATATATGGTAGTTATACCATTAAAGTTTTGATTAGATTGTTCATTTATAAATATTTGAAGTATTATTGAATTTTTGATAGTTTGATTTTGAGGTTTAAACTTAAAATGAGATTTTTAGAATTTAGAACATAATAATTTTATATTTAGAAATTGTTGGAAAATCCTTTTTATTAAGATAAATAATTTGGAGGTGGTAAATAAATAATTTGGGGTTGTTAGAAATTTAAATAATATAGAGAAGTTTAATTAATTAATTTATATTAATATGTGGTTATATTAATTGTGTAGATTAATTATTGGTTGAGCAAAGGATTGACCTTCTGGTAATCCTAAGTATTGCTTTGACGAGAGGTAACCACTTTCCACTTGTTATATGTGCTAATATGTTGTTTGTGAGTATTTTGCTATTTTTAGAATAATATTTGATATTTGGAACTTGAGTAGATATGTTATATCTTTTGAGCTATGAAAATTGTCTTGTGGGATTTTTGGAATGGTGATTGAGAAGTTTGGAAAAGATATATGATTTAAATCTTATGGATTATACTGAGAAAAGATTGAGACATTTTTATTATATTGTGAATGATTGGTTGTTATTTGGATTTTGAATTGAGTCGTATCCTACCACGTGGTAAGGCCGCCATTGGTGCACATTGGTTGGCTTCTTCTTTCGTCCCCCATAGTGAGGGATAGGCCTTTGTGGCTTCTTATTCGTCCCCCAGAGTGAGGGATAGGCCCGTATGTTTGATTGATCCCCCAGAGTGAGGGATAGACTTATGTGGCTTGTGTGTTGGCTCCCATAGTGAGGGTTTGGATGATTGAAATTATATATCTATAGTTCTCGAGAATTAATAACTGTCCCACTGGACACCTCACGAGCACGTGTTAGTATGTATGATGAGTTAGAAAGTTGGTTACTGAGGCGTTTGTCTCACCCCGTGGTTTAACATTTTCAGGTGATAGTTCAGGTGGTGGCCCATCAGGGAAGGCTCAGGAGGCATAGTGTGCTGTTATAGCTTGTATAGCCTCCCTGCTTTTGTTCTATGTGCTGACTTGTTATATATTGCCACATAGGGCTCATCTACTATCATGATGTAAAATAATACTTTTAATTACTACTATCTGGTATGATAGGGCCGTGAGGAGGTCCGAGACATTTTAGACTTTGCGTATTACACTCATTTGATAGTGTTGATTTTTGACTAATGGGCTCTATGACTTATATTAAAATGTTTTATCAGTTCGTGTGTTTGAAAGTGTAAGTTTGGTTTGGGCTAACGGTTGAATGATATTTCTGGACTTTGAAAGTCCAAGGCCCAAGTGAACGATTGATGTGGCTCGTAATATAAGTTTATTTCTTTTAACCATGATAGTGATTTTAAAATTTTAAGGTTTCTTCTTTTCTATCATGGTTAATCGTTCAAATGGATTGTTGAATTTAATCTAAAATGGTTTTGAAAAAGCAGTTGTCACAAATGACAAAAATGCCCTTTGTTCTTCTTTTTTTTAAAAAAACCCAGCCCCTCACCGGTGGTCGACCGGCGACTATCGCCGGCGACTGGCCTCCGGCGGCTGCCGGCTGCCTCTGGCCACCGGCGCCGGCCACCGGTGTGGTGGCTGCCGGTGAAGGATTTTTGTGACAAGGTTTTTTTTTTTTTGGAAATGGGATAATATTGGTTCAAAGTGGAGGGGTGGGATTTGATCCCACAACCCCTTGGCCACTTGGACCAACAAAAGGATGGCTATTGGGCCATCAAAGATTTCTTAACATTATAATGCAAACAAAAATATAAGTTAACTCTTTTACTGTGACTCCAGCTCGTGACAACAATTTGCCTGAGGATGACAAGTCTTAATTGAGAAATAACAAGTCTAAATTTGATATTAACAAAGCAACTTTTCCCTATACATAACAAATAGCAGCATGTGCATTAATTAAAAATGATCATAATTTATTTAAAAATGACACGTCTTTACTATAAAATGACAAGTCTAAAATTGATATTAACAAAGCAACTTTTCCTTATACATAACAAGAAATAGCATCTACGTTAATTAAAAATGACCATAATTTATTTGAAAATAACACGTCTTTACTGAAAAATGATAAGTCTAAACTTGATATTAACAAGGCAACTTTTCCTTATACATAACAAGAAATACCGAATAAATTGTTGTTATTTTTCAACAAAGACGTGTCATTTTTAAATAAATTATGATCATTTTTAATTAATGCACATGCTGCTATTTGTTATGTATAAGGAAAAGTTGCTTTGTTAATATCAAATTTAGACTTGTTATTTTTCAATTAAAACTTGTCATCTCAGATAAATTGTTGTCACGAGCTGGAGTCACAATAAAAGAGTTAACTTATATTTTTGTTTGCATTATAAGGTTAAGAAATCTTTGATAGCCCAATAGCCATCTTCCCTTTTATTGGTCCAAGTGGCCAAGGGGTTGTGGGATCAAATCCCACAACCCCGTCACTTTGAACCAATATTATCTCATTTCCAAAAAAAAAAAATCTTGTCTCAAAAATCCTTCACCGGCAGCCACCACACCGGTGGCCGGCGCCGGTGGCCGGAGGCCGGTCGCCGGCCACCGGTGAGGGGCTGGGTTTTTTTTTTAAAAAAAAAAAAAAGAACAAAGGGCATTTTTGTCAGTTCACTGAATTTCAAAATTCCAATTTGGGAAGGACTTCCCTATGGGTAATTACATTTCCTTAGCTTCCCAAATTGGCATTTCACATTTTGGAGCTTCTTTATCTGTCATTTTTCCTAAAAATATAAACTCAGGATGAAATAATAAATTGCTCATTGGTCCCTCAATTCCCTCTCTTAGCTAGATAAAGAATCATTAAATATCTCTCTTTCCCTCTTCTCAATCAAACTAAACAAAATGACATTAAAGTCTCCTCTGTCCTCTCTCGCCCTACCCTCCTTCCCTTCTCCTAGCCTCTCCTCAAACCAAATACGCCCTGACTGAGCAAAGGACCCTCTAGTAATATATACAAACCACTGAAGCTAGCCTCCTTCATCTTTCTTCATTTACTCTCAGACAAAAAATCAAACATGCTGCCTTCTTCCTCTTTGCCCTTCCCTTCCCTTCTCCTTCTTCCACTTCTCTTCCTTCTCTCAGCTCTGTTCCTATCCCTGTGCCTTAGACGAACTAAGCATGGCCTGAAACAACCCCCAGGGCCACCGGCCTGGCCGGTGATCGGCAACCTCCACCAGTTGGGTACTCTCCCGCACCGATCCCTTCAGTCTCTCGCGAAGCGCTATGGACCCATCATGTCCTTGCGACTCGGACAGGTCCCTGCTGTTGTCGTCTCTTCCCCTGAAGCCGCCGAGCTTTTCCTCAGGACGCACGACGTCGTTTTTGCCAGCCGCCCAAGGACTCAAGCGTCGGAGTTCCTTTCTTATGGCTCCAAGGGGATGGTTTTCTCTGAATATGGCCCTTACTGGCGCGATATGAGGAAGCTCTGTACTTTGCAGCTTGTTAGCTCGTCGAAATTGGAGACGTTTGCTCCCTTAAGAAGGGAGGAGTTGGGACAGCTGGTGAAGTCGATTGAGAAGTCGGCGGCGGCGAGTGAGGTGGTGGATCTGACGGGGAAGGTGGAGCGGCTTGTAGAAGACATAATGTATAAAATGATATTTGGACGCAACAGGGACGATAGATTTGGTCTGAAGGGTCTTATTCATGAAGCGCTGAACTTGGTTGGAGCCTTCAATATTGCAGATTTCGTGCCTTTCTTGGCACCATTTGATATCCAGGTACCATTATCAACTCAACTGCATATTTACTGTTCTTTTTCCTTCTAGTGTATTCAATGTTTCAACCAGCAAACCAAATCTGTCCGTTGTCTAGCTGCATCTCAGATTTTGATCCAAGAGCGGTCCAAGGTGAAGTGTTGAACACAAAAGGGTGAATGGGTATGGGAATTTAAAAGAATTTATAACATTGATTTAATTAATTGAATTACATTGAAGAAGAAGTTAGTTAATTTAATTAGTCTGAGATGTTTTACAAATTGAAAAATAGGTCGTATGTTAAAAAAAAGAACAAGTTGATCTTGACCCAAAAAAAAGGTATTAGTAACTATTGGACACACCAATTCAAATTAGATTATTATACCTCTGATTCTTAATATAAGACTTCATAGACTTCATTTGACTTTTATTTTGGTTCTAAATATAAAACTCCAATCCACTTTGTCTTTTATATTTATGTATTTTTTTTCTAAGGTAATTCTTCTAACAATGATAGTTCTAACAAATACACTTGACTAGTAAGGATATTTTAAGAAAAACAACACATATTTATTACAAATAACTAACTTAACTGTTTTCTTTAATCTCCTCAAATTAATCAACTAGGTTTATAATTAGGATTGGAGATAGTAGCTAGAAAGTTAGAGGTTCAAGTTTCTAAAAAGTAAAAGAAAATGGATGAAATTATGCATAAGCAATATAGTGTCTGTCTGGGATCATGGTGAAATTTTCTTATAAACACGTTTCACGTAAGTTGAAACAGAACTCTTCTTACATAAATACTTGCCTCGTATTTTGTAAATCACTGTTAAAAAGCTACTTATAAGCTGTTCTAAACAGGTTTATAATTGATTAAGCAGCATGGAATAGTTAACTTTTGGAAAGATTTAGTAAGCCACCGCCAGCTCACCATTACAAAATCAAATTGAAACCATGGCACGTGGTTAGTTTTAATGATTGGGGGCAATTTGTTTCTGCTGTTATAGAAAGATTTTAGCTCTGGTTGAGTTATAAGTCTGCACCCCACATGCCGATGATCGGCACGTATATAGTATTATCTTGCTGATCACGTCATTTTCTTTTATGTTATGTGCCTATAATCTTTTCGCCTTGAGCATTGATTGTTTTTAAATATTTTTCCTTGCGTTTCTAGATAGAAATTAAACATATATAGTATGAACTTTAAAAAAATACACATTTAATTGGCGTTTATCAGATTGGGATGGTCTAAATTTAAAATTTTTCATTAATTATTTTAAATAAAAATATTTTTGAAAAATGATAATTAACATATTATCTTTATTTTAGATTCTATACCTATTAAAATAATTATTTTAAAACTTAAAATAAAAGAAAATGAGGTCTGGACTGTTCAGATCATATCTAGACTTTCCAGATTGGTGTTATCCTTCATATATAGTGAGCTATTGAATTGATGTTGCCAGGGCTTGACACGAAAGTTAAAGAGAAACTACAAGGCGCTCGAGGATGTGTTGGATAAGATAGTGATGGAGCATGAAAACACTTCAAAAGGACAAAATTTACAACACCATAACGACTTCATACACATATTGCTTTCCTTGATGCACCAACCTGTGGATCTACAGGACGACCAAGACCATGTGATAGATAAAGCCAACATCAAAGCTATTTTATCAGATATGGTTGGAGGGGCAACTGACACTTCTATTGTTGTAATTGAGTGGGCTTTATCCGAACTTTTGAGGCATCCAAGAGTGATGAAAAATCTTCAAAATGAGCTACAAAACGTTGTTGGAATGACGAGAATGGTGGAAGAGTCTGATTTAGCAAAGTTAAGTTATTTAGATATGGTAATCAAAGAGACTCTTAGACTATATCCAGTTGCACCTTTACTTGTCCCTCGAGAGAGTATGGAGGATGTTACAATCAACGGGTGCTATATAAGGAAAAAGACAAGGGTAATTGTAAATGTGTGGGCCATAGGACGTGATTCTAAGGTTTGGTCTGAAAACGCGCATATGTTCCATCCTGAGAGATTTGTTGACAGCAATATTGACGTTCGAGGACACGATTTTCAACTGTTACCATTTGGCTCAGGTCGCAGAGGTTGTCCTGGCATGAACTTGGGTATGACTAGTGTTAAATTTGTTTTAGCTCAATTGGTTCATTGCTTTTCTTGGGAACTTCCTTATGGTATGTCTCCCAGTGACTTGGACATGAATGAAGAGTTTGGTCTCTCAATTCCAAGAGCCAAGCATTTGCTAGCAGTTCCAACTTATCGTTTACATACGTAAATAGGGTGAGAAGCCTTTTTTGAAGTTATTTTAGTGTGTGTACAAAGTCTATTGTTCCATGTACGTGTAAGAGACTGTGTGTGTGAGAGAGACAGAGAGAGAGAGAGAGAGAGACTGTTATACTATTTTACTTTAATTCAATAATGTAATTTAGAGTCCTTCGATTTATACTGGAATTAGAAGTACGTGTTTTAAATTGAATACATTCACTCTTATTAGTTGTTAATGTTAACTCACTTGGATCAATACAAAGAGGCACATCTCTTTTTTTGTTTTGGAGTGAAAGGCACAACTCATTTTTAATACTCTTCGATGTTTCAGATGACGGTACTCTGAAGGCGAATTGCTGATACGAGTTACGTTCATTTCTCTTCCATGGACGTTTTCAAATAAAAGGGATTTTTCTTTTGGCCAGCCAACAAATCAAATGAATCTATATATTTCATAAATAAAAGCAGACTATCTACCGCTTGGTGGGCGGTTGAGACAATTTCTGCAATTCCGTGCACCAAAAATCATTTAGTTGATTATGAAATTATTATTATATATTAAAACACCTATTATTTAATACTACCTCTGTTCCTACTTATAAGATTTCGTTTATAGACTAAACGAGGTCTTATAATTAGGATCGAATGTATTATCAATTTTGTAACCTAGCATCTGTGTCTCAGGAGAGGTACTTTGATCCAACACGTATGACTTAATTATAAAATAACGAATGGGTAGTGGATGGAAATAAAATGTTAAAAATAAAAGGAATGTTTGTGCTTTATAACTATTGATTTCAGGGGAGGTTCTTACGGCTTTTAAAATCGAAGAAAATCATCTATAATTAAAATGATATACTCGTCTGTTTTAAATTTTAATATTTCTATTTAACCTTACCTTTCATGTACTAAAACATCCCATGCATTCCGTGAGATATAAATCTAGCGTTCATATTCATAACATTGCCTCTTGAAGCACTCTCGAAAGTTGGCATTATAAATAAATTTTAATTTGGCTGCTAATTCCTTTTTTCCAGCAAGGTATAAATTTATACCTTTACAATAAATGTAAGAGCCATTTTAAAAAATAAAAAAATAATACCTAAAATGAATTACTGAACCTTTATTTATTTATTTATTTTACTACATTAGCCATCGAAACCTCTTACCTGCGTCTCCACTTTCATGTAAAAAGCTCATAATTTTGTTTTTTGTCTCTGAAGAAACAATCAAACATGTTTCCTCCTGTTATCCTCTTCATCCTTACATTCATATTCATTCTATCCACTTCCATGCTCTTCACAAAACGACAACAAGATGATCGGAAACGACCATCAGGACCACCGTCCCTACCAATCATCGGCAACCTTCACTTGTTGGGCGAACGGCCACACCGCAGCCTTCAATCGCTGGCCAAAATATACGGTCCGATCATGTCGTTGAAGCTGGGACAAGTTCCTGCGGTCGTCGTTTCGTCCCCTGAAGCTGCGGGGCAAATCCTGAAGACGCACGACGCCGTTTTTGCATCTCGACCCAAAGTACAGTCGACAGATCCGTTCAAGAAGGGAGTGAGGGGAGTGGCGTTTGCAGAGTATGGTCCATACTGGAGATATGTGAGGAAATTGTGTACCCTTCATCTTCTAAGCGCGTCAAGAGTGGAGATGTTCGCTCCTCTGAGGAAGGAGGAGGTGGGAGCGACGGTGAAGAGGCTGGAGAGGGCGGCGGCCGCCGGAGAAGTTGTGGATGTTAGTGAAAAGGTGGGGGAGCTTTTGGAGAACATGATGTATAGGATGGTGCCGGGACGTCGTAAGGATGATAGGTTTCAGTTGCGAGGGCTGATGAACGAGGTTCTGAACTTGGTGGGACAGTTTAACATTGCTGATTATATCCCTTGGCTTGCTGCGTTTGATCTTCAGGTATATATGCCTCGCGCAAAAGAGAGAATTTTGCTTAATATTAATATTTGATAATCTAATGGCATAAAATTGTTTGATTTAGTAATTATAAGAGTCAAAATTATGGTCTTTTTCGATAAAAAAAAATCCAAACATATATATGCGTGCTGAAATTAATCTTGAATTCAAGACCAACCACAGTTGTGCATGTCAAAATTCATCATATATGAACCGAAAATTAGGGTTATCTTACAAACTAATAATATCATCTCTTGTTTGGATACTTTTCAAGAAAATCATAGATTTATTGCGGAAGAGAGTTAAGGTAATATGTTTCCTGGCAAAAAAAAGAAAGAAGGTAAGATAATATGATTGTTATATTTTTCATTGATGACTTAATTATAAAAGAATGCTATATATGTGCGCGCGCGCGCGCGCCACAAGTAGATCATTGAATAAGAACCTGCAGATAAAAGGATGGATCAGGAAATTTTTGAATATTCTCTTAATTGAAGTTGTTACACAAAAATATATGAAGGAGAAAAATGTGTATTTAGTGTTACACTCAAATCAGTTAAGCAGCTATTCAACTAATGTTTGGTAGGGATTGACACGAAAGTTAAGGAGAAACAGAAAGGCGCTTGACGATGCATTGGAGAAGACAATCGCTGAGCATGAACTTGCACTTACAGAACCAAATTTACAGCACCATAACGATTTCATCTCCATATTGCTTTCTTTGCTGCATCAACCCATGGATTTGCTGCACGATGACCAAGACCACACCATTGATAGGCCTAACCTCACGGCTCTTTTATTAGATATGATCCTTGCGGCAACTGATACTTCTTCTGTTGTAATTGAATGGGCTATGTCTGAACTCTTGAGGGATCCAAGAGTCATGAAAGATCTCCAAAATGAACTGCAAGAAGTAGTTGGAATGAACAGAATGGTGGAAGAAGTTGATTTAGCAAGCTTAAGTTATTTGGACATGGTCATTAAGGAGGCTCTCAGACTACATCCACCTGGACCTTTCTTAATCCCTCGAGAAAGTATGAAGGATGATGTCATAGTCAATGGATATTGCATAAGAAAAAAGACAAGGATCTTAGTAAATGTATGGGCCATAGGACGTGATCCTAAGGTTTGGTCTGACAATGCTCATATGTTCTATCCAGAAAGATTTGTCGATAGCAATATAGATGTTCGAGGGCATGATTTCCAGCTATTACCATTTGGCTCAGGTCGAAGAGGATGCGCTGGGACCCAGTTGGGCCTAACTACAGTTAAATTCGTTTTAGCTCAACTGGTGCATTGCTTTAATTGGGAGCTTCCTCGTGGCGTTTGTCCCGGTGACTTGGACATGAACGAAAAGTTTGGTCTCACAATCCCAAGAACTAAGCCCTTACTGGCTATTCCAACTTATCGTTTAAATAATTAGATAATGATAGGGCTAGTCGTTAAAGAACGTTAAATGGGCAATGTGGACTGTTCTGTGCAAGATACATAAACGAAGTATATGGTGACACTGTCAATAAGATAAAAAATGTTTCTTTTCCTAAAAATATTACTACCTCTTGTCCTAATTATAAAACTTTATTTATAGACTATAAACAGGATCTTATAATTATAAATAAGGTCTTATAATTAGGATTCGAGGTAGTATATGGGTTAGCATGTAAGTTTGTTGATACTTAAATGATATGTTTCTTCTTAAGTTTTTATTCTCTCCCAAGGGAAGTTTGTACTGAGCCACAATGCAGCTATCTTCAAGCTGTTATACGGTCGACGAAGCACGCGTTTTTGCCCCTTCTTCAGTAGAAAAATTGATGATATAAATACTCCTCCGGTCCTTAATATAAGACCCATTTAACTAATTTGATTAGATTAAAGAAGTTAGGTAAGTTAGTTAATTATAAGAAATGTGACATGTTTTTCCTAAAACACCATAATCATCTTTCTTAATACCCCTCTTCCTCTTCTACTTGATTATGGTTGAGCGAGTATCTATAGGGGTAATTTAGAGAAAACTGATAAATATGATAAATGGGCCTTATATTTAGGACCAAAACCAATTTAACAATTGGGTCCTATATTAAGGACCGGAGGAGTATATACTCCTCTTGTTCTTAATATAGGACCCAATTCTTGAGTTGGTTTTGGTCCTAAATATAAGACCCATTTATCATATTTATCAGTTTTCTCTAAATTACCCCTATAGATACTCCCTCAACCATAATCAAGTAGAAGAGGGAGATGAGGTATTAAGAAAGATGATTATGGTGTTTTAGGAAAAATGTGTCACTTTTCTTATAATTAACTAACTTATCTAACTTCCTTAATCTAATCAAATTAGTTAAATGGGTCTTATATTAAGGACCGGAGGAGTATATAAATTTATTTTTAACCTCCAAAAACCTTCATAACAAATAGAGGTGGAAATAGGCCAGGTGGCCTGTCGGGGGCCTATGGCCTGGCCTATTTAGATATCAGAATAGACTCAAGCCTGTAAAAAAGCTTGTTTACTTTATCAGGCTAGGCTCAGACCTGATAATATGCCTATTAGACCTATTAGGCAGTCTGGGTCTATTTTTTTTTTTTTTTGAGGTTAAAATTGTAAATAGACAAGTGGAAATCTGTTATTCTAATTGGTTAATTGAGAAAATTCCACCCACATAAACGTGCTATCCAGAGATCATTGCATACTTCATTTTATTTCCATTCTCTATAATAAAAATAATTGATGTATGTATAATGACACATATTTGAACAGAGAAAGAAAACATAAGTGCATTAAAAAAAACAAAAGCATCATTCATTTATTTGATCCATGTTTTTCATATTAATCTTATATAGAATATATATTTATAGAATTGACCTACTATATTTTAGACTGTATATATGTGTACTAAATCTAATTCTTATTATAATAATTACTTAATTAATTTAAATAAATAAATAATAATAAATGTAACATATTTTTTTTAAACAACTATGTGTAACAACGATATCAAATATCATTTTGTTAGTAAATTAGTTTAAACAAATGATAAATTTAAAATATAAAAAGGATTAAAGACGTTTTATATTTTAAACTAGATCTAGTCATCAACTAATTTTTATGCTAGAGATAGGATGAAGTGATATTTTTATACCAGAGTAAAATTATATTTTCTAATAATTTTTCATATTTGATTTTTTTTGGGCCCAAGGAGACACGTTTTACAAATTGTGTTTATTTGATAATTTCATATGTTCCGTTTGTATTTTAAATAAATTGGGTTGAATTATTATAATTTTGAATTGATTTATGTGTGTTTGAAATTTGTTTTAAAAAAGGCCTCTTAACAGGCCATTGGCTAGGTTAGGCTCAGGCCGAATAAAAGGCCTTTTACAGGTCGTAGGTCAGGTTTAGACCAACAGGCCTCACTACAAGCTGGGCTTATTAAGGGTGAGGCCTGGCCTGGCCGGGCCTGGCCTATTTTCACTCCTAATAACAAACAATAGAGTTCCCCTTCCTTTCCATATTTTTCAGGCCAATAACAATTAATTCATTAAACACCTTTTCCAAGTGATGCAAGCCCTTCACCCACTAACCATACGATTTAGCTATATGATTTATAGTATCTTTCCCTCATAAATTTTCGGTGACTTGATTTGAAGTATTTCTCTGGTTTTTAATATAAAACCCATTTAACTAATTTGATTAGATTAAGAAAGTTAAGTAAGTTAGTTAATTATAAGAAATGTGACACATTTTTCCTAAAATACCATAATCATCTTTCTCAATATCCCATCTCCCTCTTCTACTTGATTATGGTTGAGAGAGCATCCATAGGGATAGTTTAGAGAAAATTGATAAATATGAGAAATGAATTTTATATTTATGACCAAAACCAACTCAATAATTAAGTCATATATTAAGGACCGAAGGAGTATTTAATATTGTGAAAAAATATGAAATACGTCCTTTTTGTATTGATCTTTCATGCTTCACAATATTTTCTTGGTGATATTTCCACAATGGCGAGTCACTCCCCTTGTGGTATGGTACCAAGCCTTATCAGCAATATTCATTACTCAATAAATTTTCTTGTTCTGCTAAAAAAAAATTCTTGTTAAAAAAAGAAAGAAAAAAAATAACCGACAAACGGGACTGAATCCTGAAGGTTGTGTTTTAGGACTATTGCAACTTTGGGCCTACTGATTTAAGTAATTATGATTATGATTGTGCACTTTTTTTAAGAAAAGAAAATGGCACGGTTAAAATTAGAACTAGCTGGTTCCTTGTTCAATCGGTTCAGTCTCATCTTTAATTTAAACCCTTGATTAGAACTTTGGACATTTTCTAATCACACACTCATTAACTATGAACTTTTTCTAATCGCATCACGTTAAGAAATTAAGGCATGGGCCAAAGTCAAAATGTGGTAGTTGAAATAATAATCACTAATTATTAAAAGAATGCCACTATTTCAAATATATATTAAAGTTGCTGCCTGTCAATTACTGTTTTGCCATGATCTGGTGTGCTTACTCACGGCCTGTGCGACGTGTTTGTTTGGCTACTTTGAAAAAAATATTTTTACGGTTTATGAAACAAAAATATTTTCATTAACAATAAATGTTACTCCTCCGGTCCTTGATGTATGGCCTAATCAAAGAGTTGATATTGGTTCCATATGTAAGATCTATTTTACACTATTATTAATTTTTTTATCAAATTAACTCAATTGTTATCCTCCCAACAATAATTAATAAGAAAAGGAGAGAGAAAATTAAGGAAGATACTTGCAGTATTTTAGAAAAAACATATCATATTAACTAATTCAATTAATATTTTTAATATACTCAAATTAGTTGATTAGGTCTTATAGTACAGAAAGGATGAGTATATTAATATTACACAATACAAAATCATTGTTTTGGCCAAAAACAGAGTTCATTTTACCAGTAGCAAGAGAAACCACATACAAAATCATTTAAAATAAACAAAGTTAAATATCTAAAGCTCATCACATAGCATCTACTTATCGGTTACAAAGTGGCTGCACGGTCACGGACAGGGCAATCCGGATTTATGCGAGGCCCTCGGCGTGAGGTAAATACAATATTACTAAGCATTTATTTATTTCATGTTGACTTCAAAACGCAGGCTTCTAGATTAATGTCTTTCAATTGTAACATTAGGATTAATACTAATTTTAATTCCTTAAATTTAACTTCATTTCGGTCTTGTGTTTAAAATTTAAAATCAATAGTTTTGGCTTATAAAACCTTTTTCCATGGACAAAAAAGAAGTTAAAATTTTAGATATTAAAATTAAAATCAAATCAAATTTTAGAAATATAAAACAAAACAATATAAAATTTTATGAATTGAAAATAGTAGTAACCCTCAATTCGAGACTGACTTTGACACTTATTTTTCACTCGTGAATGGTAGAAGGAGTTGTTCAGAACTTCAGGGTGGTGGGAATTACCTTGTAACCGTTGCTAGAGCTACAGTAACAACATGAGACCTATTTTTTTAACATTGTTCTCCGTGAAAAGAATATGATGCAATAATGCCTACTCCTAACCTTGACATGTGTTTGGATAATGAAGGGAAAAAGTTATTTTTTCTCAATCTGACTTTTGCAAAAAGTTAAAAATCAGATAGAATGATGTAATTTATGTTTAAATTAGCTGTTTATAAAAAAATTATTTTTGAATAAATAATAAAAAATAAGTTTAGATATAAAATGACTAAAAAGTATATAAATTTTATTAAGTAATATTATAATATGACGATAGTAAAAAATATTAAAAATAAAATTATCTTAATTAATTATTTTTTGGTAAGTCTTAATTAATTATACTTGATGGATAAAAATATATATAAATTAGAAATTATATAAATGTAAAATTTTTTAAGTAAATAATATTACATAACTATGGAGTAAGTTCTAAGCAATTTAATAAAAACAAAAAGATGCCTCTTTGTAAAAAAAAACAAAAAATTATCTAAACACTAAGTAAATAAATGAAAAAAATGGCATGGTGCTTTATTTTTTTTTTTTTTTTCAATTTTACGTTCAGTATTTACTTTTTTTCGATAATTTGTGATCAGTATTTACTAAAAAAATATTATCCTCAACTTATTTTTTAACTTTTATAATGTGTGAGTGTCAAAAAAAAAAAAGAATTGTTAATGTCCAATGTTTGCTATTTTTTCTTTCTTGTTTTTTTTTTAATCTCCTACACCGCACCCTGTCTTACCCCAAAAGCACAAAAGACTAGGGGTGTTTGGCAAGTGATAAAAGTGTTTTTAAAATGTATTTTTTATAAATCGAGACAAACTCCTCTATATATTTATTTTATATATCATAAAATTATTTTTAAAATTATGGTTTGGTATTCATCCAAATACTCTAAAGTTCAGCTCAAAAGCTCATCAAAC